TGAGCAGATGCTCAGGACGTGTGCGCAGAGGAGAAGGAAGGATGAAAAGAGTCTATATGAGCCTGAGTAGCAAAACTATGGGAGACAGACTACAACAGAACCTCTGTTTGGGCCAGGGGCTAAAAGATGAGGGCAGGACTTTAGTTACCATGATTTCCAGGCCCTGGCTTTTTTCATTCTGCCAGGCAAGAGAAGATATATCTAGGGCTGCCCAGTACGGTTGTTCAGGTTCTGCACTTTACAATTCCAGGGGGCATCATTTTCACACTTGAGTCATCATGGATTTACATGATCATTATGACAATTTCCAGTAGATGGCAGTGAAACATTTAAGTTTGGGGCATTTGTGTGTGTGTGTGTTTCTGCAAATGCAGTGTTTGGGTTCTTCACTGTTGGGTGCACCTGTCTACCAGCCCTTCAGTCTGCTGAGAAGTTGCCTGACACCCCCTGCCTTGTCACACCTCCTCTTTACTTCAGGGCCTTAGTGTTGGACTGGGGATTTCAGGGGAGAGAGCCACGCCACTTAGAGCCAGAAATCCCCAGTTGCATCTTCTGTTCCAAAGAAGGGGATGTGTGTGATCAGAAGCCCCCTGGGTTCAAGTTCCAGCTGCTGCATTTCCTAGTGAGTGGTCTTGGGCAAGTGACTCTGCAGTCCTGGGGCCTACCTTTCTCTTCTGGAAAGAGTGCAGTCATCATCCATGCCCTTGAGACTGTGGGGAACAGATGCTACCCTGAACATGACTGCTCCATTGCTAGCTATAAGGCACCCTTCCTAGGAATATCCTGTCTTAATAACATACAGGGTTTTCCCAGCTGACCCCGGGAGGACTGCACTATTTGGGCAGGGGTGTGCTGCAGACCATGATGACTCCTATTTTACCACTGCCCCACCCCGCAGAGTCATCTTCCCCCAATGCATTTCTCTGCTGGTCTCCACCTCCATGGGCGCTTCAGTCTCTGCTCCAAACATAAGTCAGTCTGCCAGTAAACAAACACTCACTGAGCATCTTCTGTGTGCCAGGTGCTGCGGTGATCTCTGCCTCTCAGCTTCCCACAGTCCCAAGGGGGCAATAAAGTTAGCATAGGCACATCTTGTTTCTGAGTCTTGAGATCTCATCCCATTTTTTAAAACACTTCTGTGTGTTGTTATATAAGGTTTTTTTTTTTTTCTCAGAACATCACTGTTTTATTTTTCTGTGGATGCTACACAAACCTGGTATCTTAAAACACCAGAAATTTGTGCTCTTACAGTTTTGGGTGCCAGAAGTTCAAAGTCAAGGTGTCTGCATGGCCATGCTCCCTCCCAAATCTCTAAGGGAGAATCCTTCCTTGTTTCTTTTTCTTTTTTTAAATTTTTTTGGTTTTTTTTTTATTTTAATTGGAGGCTAATTACTTTGCAATATTGTGGTGGTTTTTGCCATACCTTCACATGAATCAGCCATGGATGTACATGTGTTCTCCATCCTGACCCTCCCTCCCCATCAAGGTGTCTGAAAGAGAAGGGATTATCTTTTAATAGGAAATAATTAAAGCCAGAATATTTTCCAATTATGCTCTTTCTTCTAGGTTTACTATTGTTCCTCTATTGAAATTCATTAAATGAAGAACAGTCTAGTTTAAACATGACAGAGGCGAATTCAACTCAAAAATTGTTAATATCAGGAACAGAAATTAATCTTTCTGGAAGCTGTGGCTCCATCTCTCTTCTGCTGGCTGTCAGGTGGATTTCAGAGCTGTATCTCTCTCCAAGTTCTCTTTCTACAACAGCTGGGTGATTCCCTGAAGGGATCATTTTCTGCTGTGACGTGTGTAAGTGTCCACTCACTGTCCAGTTCTGGAGGTCGGAAGTCTGTTTTGTGTCTCACTGGGCTAAAATCAAGGTGCCTGTCTGCTGGGACTCGAAGGAGAAAAAGGCCTTGCCCAGTCCTTCCCTTTGTGACTCCTAGGCCACTTACTCACTGGACAGTATCTTCAGCCCATGTCACTAAATATTCCTCCAGGGTCCAGACCAAGAGAGGCTTAGCTGAGGTCTTCCCTGCCCATCTCATAGTAGCGAAAAACAGAGAACAAATTCACTATGAGTTTCCTTTAGAATTTGGCTGTGGAGGGACAAGAAACTCGAAGTAGAATTGGCTTAATTGCCAATTGCCCGCTCGGGTATATTAAGCCTAGAGGCAGGCCTTCCACGGCTAATATAGTCACTCTACAGTGTCAGGAAAGAACAAGCCCTTTCCAGTACCGTGTCCTGTCATCCCTCAGGTGTAGTTGTCATCCTCATGATAGAGGTGGAAGTTCGGGGCTGGCAAAGCCCATCATGACGTCAGGACCCAGGCTCCTTGTATATCATTTCTTCACCATTCTCGGTATGCATCTCATGGTCCAAAATGGTTAAGTTCCAGCCATCAAGCCAACATTCCACCAGTAGGAAATATGAAAGAAGGCTGAGCAATGACATATCCTGTCTATCTAAGGACACTCCTTGGAAGTTATTCATGATTATTCCATTTATCTCCCATCAGTTAGAACTTAGTCACATGACCATGCTGCTGCTAAGTCAATTCAGTCGTGTCCGACTCTGTGCGACCCCATAGATGGCAGCCCATCAGGCTCCCCATCCCTGGGATTCTCCAGGCCAAGAATACTGGAGTGGGTTGCCATTTCCCTCTCCAAACACATGACCATATGTAGGTGCAAATAAATTAGTCTTTGCTGTAGGGGCACCCAATTCCTGGGGAAGAAAAGGAGAATGTTTATTGAGGAGCCATGAGAATTCTCTACCATATTTTGCTTGTGAGATACCATCCCCTGCCTACAGGGTGGGTATCTCTACCTAGAAAGCTTCTCAGTATAAATTAACCAGGGAAATAACAAATAACCATAAGATCACAGAACAAGAATTACCCAAAAAAAGCACCTAGCTGTACACCGAGAATGGTGAGGAGATGATACACAGGAACCTGAGTCCTGATGTCATGAAGGGCTTTGCCAGCCCTGAACTTCCTGCTCTTTCCTCCCTGCATGTAAATGACGCTTGTGTTCTGTTGTGATGGTCACCATTGCCAACAGTCAGTACGGTGCACCCACCACCCGCATGCTCTTAGCTGCCCACCATCCTGCCCTGCTGGTCCAGCTACGGCATCTCCTCTCCCACCCGAAATGCGCCCAACACTACCCTCCCCTCCGTTTCTAGAGTGGAGTCTGGCTGAAGCGACAGTGAGGGCAGCAGTGAGCAGGGAGGCCCAGTGACATCAACTGCCACACGGCAGGAGGGACGGCGGTGGCCCTGGTAAGCTGGGCAAAGAGGCTCGGAGGATTCTGCCACGTGTTTCTTCCTGACCCACCACCGCCTTCTCTTTCCTGCCTAGGAGACACCTCTTGCGGCCAGGACCACTCAGTCTCATCTTTTTCTCTTCTTTGCCTTGTTTTGTTTTAATAATTTTAATTTTTATTTTGAGCTGTTCTGGGTCTCCACTGCTGTGCGGGCTTTTCTCTAGCTGCAGCGCACCGGCTTCTCATTGTGGCAGCTTCTCCATGCAGAGCACGGGCTCGCGGGCAGGTGGGTTTCCGTAGCTGCTGCGTATGGATCCCACAGTTGTGGTTTCCAGGCTCTAGAGCACAGGCTCAATAGTTCTGGTGCACGGGCTTCGTTGCTCTGAGCCATGTGGGATCCTCCTTGACCAGGGATCGAACCCGTGTCTCTGGTACTGGCAGGCGGATTCTTTACCACGGAGCCACCAGGGAAGCCCCTCCGCCTTGTTTTAAAATAGCCCCTTTGCCTGCTCATTCCCGGTTCCTGCAGGAAGGGGCTTCAGGCACCCTAGACTGTGAATGAGGGCTCGGATGTTAACATCGTCTCTCCTGCACTCTCACGCCAGCCCTGCTCCGTAGACTCCTCATTACCACTTGCCAGATCAAGGCGCAGGGCCCGAGGGCTGCCAGGGAGTTGGTCCCAATCACCCAGCTGGTAGGTGGCAGCCCTGCAAAGGGAACCAGCTCTCTAAAGCCTGTGACACCTTCACGAGCTACCCATGCTAGGTAGGGGTCTGATGGCGGAACTTTCAGCAGCTGATCGTGGAGGCGACTCTGGGGGGCAAGAGAATGTTCACAGCGCGGACCGTTCTCACCGGCTTTTCAGGGACAAGAGCGGGGAGAGAAACCAGGACCTCGCTGGTAACGTGGCAGGAAGCCACATGCCTGATCTGCGGTCTGGGAGTCACTCTGAGCCAGAGAGCTGCGGGCGGCGCTGGCTGCTTCCACCCCCCGCAGCCTCCCCAGCCCCTGGTCCCCGATCGCCAGGGACCCTGGCTCTGCCCTGTCTCCAGGATCTCCGAGCCCGGGAACGTCATCCCTCCTCTCAGCAAGGGAGGCTGTGCCTTCAGTCCGCCCTGCTGCCTGCTCTGGGCTCTTGCCCCCTGTCTTTGTGATGGGGTCAGAGATATCCTTGCCTCTGGTCCTCCGTGTGGGTGCCCGAGGGAAGGGAAGCCTGGCAGGGAGCCGGGGGTCGGGGAGGGGTGGTGATGGGGGGCTCGGCAGCTGCGCTGGAGCAGGTCTGGCTTTCCTGCTGAGTCATGGCCGCTGGAGCTTGGAAGGAGGGGGGCAGGCCTTCTGGAGGGGGAGAGAGAGAGAGAAAGCTCTCCCACATCACACACACACACACACACACACACACACCCCTCCCAGCAGAGAGAGGCTTTGTTCCCCACAAGATGGAAAAGCCACAGAAACAAAGGAAAGGCAGCTCGCGCCGGCCCTGTCCCCTGCTGCCATTCCTGCCCCTGCTCTGTGTCCTCACCCCATTGCCACCAAGCCGCCCTCCCCGCTCCATCCAGCCCCGACCCTGCCCTAGGGTGCCCAGTCATCTTGAACGGCCCAGGGTGATGGACTGTTCCGGGGCCAGGTTGCTCACCCTGTGTGCTCATGTCCGTCTGCCTGTGCCCCGGCCCAGCCCCCTGTGAATCATGCCCACCTGGCCCCTCCCTGGTGACAGGCGCTTTCCTGGCTCTGAGGGGGTGTTCCAATGTTCCAGACTTTTCTGAGGTTTGTCCCGGTGCTGTGGGAGACAGAGACGAATGAGGCTGGGTCTCTGTGTCCCGAGGGGCTTATACGCTGCTGCAGGGTGGGGAGGCTGAGGATGGAGTTCATCCCCCCTCCCCCAGAGCTGGCTGAGGGCTGCCCCCCAACATCCCACCTCCTCCCCCCGCCGTGGGGCAGGGATGCTTAGACACGGGGACTGGATGGGCGGATGGGTTGGAGACTCGGAAGGCAGCCTGGGTGGAGGACAGAATGCCTCCCTTGTTAAAGATCACTGCTTGTCTTTGTACATGATCCCCAAGCCAAGCTGTTATCTGATACCCAGCTGTACACCCTTCATTCAGACCTATTCCTATTCACATGGACCTGGTTTATGGGGCATTCTGAATGTGACAGGACCAAACGCGACACGTTGTTGCTTTGTTTCTCATCACCGCCTTCACCCACGCTTTGTCAAAGGCCTTCTTCTCTCAAACAATATTCCTGGCAGATTCCAAGTTTTCTGGTCAAATTCCCTAGTGTTTTTAAATGATAAAAATCCAGTTTAGTTTAATTCAATTGAAAAGTTAAGTACCAAATGCAAATGTAGGGTGATCCTCCCCTAGTGCCAAGCAAAGCTAGGAGTGGGGAGGGGCCTTCTCCTCCTTCCCTCTCCCATCAGAAAGCTTTGACCTCCCCTGAGTTTGAGGTTGGGGTATAAATGGAGGGTGGAAGAGCTGGAAGGGGGTTCAGTTCAGTTCAGTTCAGTTGTTCAGTCGTATCCAACTCTGTGACCCCATGGGCCGCAGCATGCCAGGCCTCCCTGTCCATCACCAACTCCCCGAGTTTACCCAAAGTCGGTGATGTCATCCAAACATCTCTTCCTCTGTCGTCCCCTTCTCCTGCCTTCAATCTTTCCCAGCATCAGGGGCTTTTCTAATGAGTCTGCTCTTCATGCCACAGGTTTTGTTCTCTGGGCCAACACTGCCTGATGACGAGTGTCTCCCGGGGGTGAAGTCTTCCAAGTGGGGTGAGCAAGTGGGTTCTCTGGGGAGAAGGGTCATCTGGCTAGACTGTTTTGAACATATCCTCTCCGTTCTCGCCCCTGGATGCCCCCCTTTGGAATTCTTCCTCCTGAGGAGGGACTGACCCACAGGAAATCCCTGCGTCCTTGTCTGGCCAAATGGGGGCATGCAGGCCACCTTCACTGCCTGACTCTGCCTCTGTCCACTCTCCTTTCCACCCCCCCCACCCCAAGGCGGGATAGGTTGACCAGTCAGCTGGCACTCAACTAAGGAATGGGGTGTCCTCCTCTCTCATGGGCACCCCCTCTCTGGGGATAAGCTCTAGCAACCCTCCTTTCACATCCAGAAAGTGGAAGGAAAATCAGAGCATTCCTGCTCTAGCCTGGGGACATTTGCTGTGCCCGGGAGGGCCCCACACTTGGTCAAATGCCCTGTTGCCTTGACATTCTTCATGATGTTTGAACAAGGAGCTACTTGTCACAAACCCTGGAAAATTATGTAGCTGGTCTCCCCTGGGACTGGCTGCTCTCTGACCATCTTCATCTGCTTGTTGAAAGTGGGGGAGGGGTGGTCGTGCTGATCAGAGTAGCAAGGCTGGTTCTGGAGGCTGTAGGTGCCCCGGGAAGTACCACCCTACAGTGACATCCGCCTCTCCTTAGACTGAGGGTTGCTCCACACCCTATGATCCTCCCTTTGAGTTCCAGTCATCAGCTTCCAGGCAAGAGAATCTGAACTAACCAGCATCCTGTTTGGAATATGAGCACCCTTCAACATCAAACACACTATCCAAGTTGGAAATTGAATAGGCCCAGAGTATGTGCTTTTTGTTGCTGTTTTTCTACAGCAATGAAATGATGTTGCAAATATTACTTAATAGGTTGCTTTTTTTACTTAACACACTGAAAATATATTTTCATGGAGAAAATACTCATCTACCATCTAATTTTCGACGTCAGTTTCAATTCCATATTGGCAGGCTACAAGTCACCCCAAACCCAGGGCTTGAATCAACAGTGATTCATTGCTTTTCATTCTTCTATGGGTTAACCAGACAGCCCTGGTCATTCACGAGTCACATAAAAATTAGAGAGAGAAAAACTGAACCATTTCCTGCTTGTGTGACCTTGGTCAAGTAACTGAACCTTTGATGCCTCATCTTTAAATTGTTACAGATGGTAGCAGTGATGTTTCCTTACCTGAGATATTTTGAAGATCAAATGAGAACTATAATAGTCATGTCTACCACATAGGGATGTCTTGAGGATTATATGAGTTAATATGGCAAAAGTGTAACAAATGTTAGCTCTTAACTATTATGTTGTCTTGGTGAGAGACTAGGCTAGTGAGGGGATTGGTGGGCAAGGAAGTAGCTGGCTCTCCAGCTCATCAGACTGAGAGACAGGACAGAGGGAGGGTTTCTGCTGGGAATACATAGAAGGATGAGAAAGGATGCAGTGATAATGGCTGGAAGTAGTAAGCACTGCTGAGCCACAGGGGAGAGGAGGGCTGGGGGAGGAGTCATCTTGCTTCAGTACAAAGATACGTACGTGTTTGCCTTATTTCCCTGCATACTGATAACATGCTGGTAATAAAGTCAGGATTAAAATGTGCTGGAAAGCAAGTAGTGCCAGCTCAGAGGCACCTGACTCAATGAATGACCCGTGGGTATCCGCTGCCTCTATCCCTGCTCTATCGTGGGGACCCCTTCTGTAAGGAACAGAGAGAAGAGGACGAAACCAACGAAGCATCTCTTAAGGAAGAGAAGAACAGTATCAGGGAGAAAAAATCTAGGCCCCCGTGGCTTTCTGTGCCCCAAATGCCTCATTTCAATCCTTTCATTAAAGTTTCAGAGATTCTAACATGTTGAGATTCGTGTCCTTGGGTCCCTTTAAAAATTATGTAATATTTAAAACACAGTATAAACAATAACAGAACAAAACCCATGTTCTTGCTATCAGTTTAAGAAACAAAACATTGCCAATATAGTTAACCTTTCCCTGATGTACCTTCTTTTCGTAATAGGTAACCACTGTGCTGAACCCTGAGGTTGATTATGTCCTTGTACTCATTTCCATTTTTCTAATACATGGATAAATCTGATAGAAAGGAGAGGTTGTGTTTAGACATTTGAGTTCCAGTGAAGGACTTTTCGGTTCTCCATTAGGATCTGGATGACTTCTAAAGGGGCTACAGGAGAACCAGAGAGGAAAAAAGACCATAAAGAGGAATAGAGTCTCAGTAGCCTGTGACAATATCAAAGGGAATAATATATATAATTATTCCATATCGTTGAGGGGGTGCATATTTGAAAAATAAAGGCTGAAAAATTTTCAAATTTTTTGAATAATATAAATGCGCATGTCCAAGAAGCTGAACCATTGCCAAGCACAGAACATGACACCAAGGTACATCATATTCAAACTGCTGAAGAGCAAAGATATGATAATGATACATCATTATCAGTGATGTATCATTATCAATGAGATCAACGATAAAAAATTGCTTTTCAGGGAGCCAAAGGTAAAAAGAGATATTTATGCAGGAAGGAAAATATATGAACAATCTCTGATTTCTTAGTAGAAATAATACAAGTCAGGAGACTATGGAACTAAATTTTTAACATCTTACCAGCAAAAAGAAAGAATTGTCAGCCTAGATTTGTTTCCAGGGATAAAGCCGAGGGAACTCATCATCTGCAGACCTATTGAAGGCTTGAGGGAAATGATATCAGGTAGAAACTCAAATCTCTAAAAAAAAAATAAGTAGAAATAAATAAATATGAAAAATGGTAAAAGTAGAAACTCAAATCTCTACAAATAAATAAATATGGAAAATGGTAAAAGTAAAATAGGTTTTCTCCTCATTCAAAAATTTATGTTAGAGATGAAAAGCTTAAGCAAAAATAATAACAATGTACTGTGGAGCTTATAATAAGGACAGAAAAAGAATGTATGACCAAAAAAGCCCTAAGAACAAGAGAGGAAGAAAAGGAACACAATGTTGTAAGTTTCTTGTGTAATATGTGATGTAGAATAATATTATTTAAAGGTAGAAATTGAAGATGCACATTGTAAACTTTAGAACAAACACTAAAAAAGAGAAAGGAATAACTAATAAGCCAACAGATGACATGAACTCCTAAAAAATACTCAATCTCAAAGAAGGCAAGAAAAAAGGCAAAAAACAGAACAAAGAACATATGGGACAAATGGGAAAAAAAATAACAAGATGGTAGATTTAAACACAAGAATAGAAATAATTACATTAAAAGTAAATAGACTACATGGATGAACCATGAAAATATTACATCAAGTGAAAAAAGCCAGTCTTAAAAGACCACATATTGGACGATTCCATTTGTATGAAATGTCCAGAATAGGCACATCTATGAAAACAGAAAGTGGATGAGTGTTTTCCTAGGGCTGAGGGAAGAAGGTGGAGGGAAACAGAAGTGACAGTTAATTGGTACCAGGTATCTTTTGGAGGTGACAAAGCATTCTAAATTTAGACTGTGGTGATGACTGCACAAATCTGTGAATATACTAAAAACCATTGAATTGTACATTTAAATGAGTGATTTATGTGGCATATGAGTTATGTCTCAATAAAAGGGTTTCCTTAAAAGTACATGAATTACATATTCTAAATTAAAGACATCGAACAGCTGATAAGAAGGTGAGGAAGATGCTTTAGCTCTATAGACACTGCAAACTAGAAGGGAAATATGCAAACTTGGGCTGTGGCTTTGGCTGCTAGGCCACCCAAAATGGTGAGCTGAAACTCCCATACTTGAAGTAAAGTGTGTTCAAACTACCATACAATTGCACTCATTTCACATGCTAGCAAGGTTATGCTCAAAATCCTTCTAGCTAGGCTTTAGCAGTACATGAACTGAGAACTTCCAGATGTACAAGCTGGGTTTCAAAGAGACATGGACACCAGAGATCAAATCGCCAACATTTGTTGGATCATGGAGAAAACAAGGGAGTTCCAGAAAAACACTTACTCTGGTTCCAAATTGGGAAAGGAGTACATCAAGGTTGTATATTGTCACCCTGCCTATTTAACTTTTATGCAGAGTACATCATGTGAAATGCAAAATGCTGGGCTGGATGAAGCACGAGCTGGAATCAAGATTGCCAGGAGAAATATCAATAGTTATCTGATAACCTCAGTTAGGCAGATGACACCACCCTAATGGCAGAAAGCAAAGAGGAACTAAAGAGCCTCTTAATGAAGGTGAAAGAGGAGAGTGAAAAAGCTGGCATAAAACTCAACATTCTAAAAACTAAGATCATGATCCAGTCCCACCACTTCATGGCAAATAGATGGGGATAAAATGGAAACAGTGATAGACTTTATTTTCTTGGGCTCCAAAATCACTGCAGATGGTGACTATAACCATGAAATTTAAAAATGCTTGCTCCTTGGAAGAAAAGCTATGATGAACCTAGACAGCATAATAAAAAGCAGAGATACTACTTTGCCAACAAAGGTCCCTCTAGTCAAAGCCATGGTTTTACCAGTAGTCATGTAT